CCATGCTGCCCAGAACTAAACTCAACCACTAGCCTCTAAACACTGAGTCCAAGCCCTCTAGGCTAATTAAGGAAATACCTTAAAAATTCTAATCCCTCACCCAAACTTCCACCATCACTATGATCAGGGTTTGACCCAATCTCTCCCTCTCTAGCTGCCTCTCAGTTTTCCCCATCTGTCCACCTCTTTCTGACACCCCATCTGTCACTTGTGTAGCATACTTGCCCTGTCTCTCCCATTCCATTAGAGATGGCTGCGGAATGAGTTTCCTCCTTCTCCACCCCAGGGTCTCTCTCATCCCTGATTTTTACCATTTGATTTTCCTTAGACATTGTGTACCTGGGCAGCCTATTGGAGACAGAAAGAGGAACCTGTCCTTCATGTCAGTAAAAGAGATGATTTCACTTCCAATACAAAATCCAAGCCTCAGAAAAGCAAAAAGGGAGAAAGAAAAAGTTCTAGAAGAGAGAAAAAAGGGGAAATGGAGGGAAAAAAAAAAAATAAAAGACAGAGTGGGATTAATAGCATGGGAAACAGTGGACATGATAGTGGCTTAAAGAGGATGACAGATGGGAAAACCAACTGAAATGTTGAAGAGCACATGAGAAGGGGGCCCTTCAGATTCAGTTATGGGACAAGTTTGGATACTTGGCAGCCCAAGGGCCTGTGGTTACCTGCCACCAGGCACTAATGGCAACTTTCTGGGTGCTCCCCACAGCTACAGACCCCAAGAGAAGATAGCAGGATAGGAAAAGGAAGCTCCTCCAAGCATTCTAGAAACCTGAGGAATCTCCCCGTTTGCCCGCTTGGTTCTCCCAGCCCACACTAGACAAAGCACTTGTATACGAGCCTGAGCACCTCTGCAGAGACCCTCAGTCCTAAGTGCTGTGGTCTCTTGCAGAACAAAACTCAGCCTCATTACTTGGCTCCATTTTTCTTGGAAATGAAAGATTTCAGGCTCCCACAGGTGCTTCTACAGTGCTTCTGTCCCACCCGGTTACCCGTACCCGAATAGCCAGTGATGATTCCAACCTACCAAGAGTCTCCAGTGCCCGCACTATTACACTGTGGCTCAGATGCTCTTTTACCAGTACCTGGCCCTGTCTGAAGCAGCAGCCTATGGCTGAGAGGAATAGCAGGCACCTCCCCAACTTTCTCAACTTCCAGCCTAAGCCCAGAATCAGTAATAGAACTGCAGTACTGAGGGTAGACAACATTACGGTTGGCTCCCTCCCCCATATCCACTGTACCTAGCAGAATCCAGCAAATGAAACCTATACATCACCCTACTCTCTCAATAGGAAAGAGAGCAGGACAAGAGGAGTGGGTGGATGCCTCTAGCTTGCTTCTCAGCCATTCGCTACTCTTCCAGAGCAGGATCCAAACCAAGCCAATCAGAAACCATCAAAACACCAGATTCAGGAACATTTCCATGCAGTGGAGCCCAGAGCTATAGCTACAGTAGCCTTTGAAGTGTGATTCTCTGCATTAGAGAGTTTGTGTGTCCTTCCAACATAGCTCTTTGCTCTGTGATGGTCAATCAAGACTCAGGCCTGGGGGATCCCAATTCCCCAGAAATTCTCAGGGCGGGGATCTACATCCCAGACTCCAATTTGGGCATTAAAGTTAGAAGTTAAATTCAAATCAATTATGAGCTGCCAGCCTCTGGTGGAAGAAATATCCTTGGCTTTTAGAAGGAACCAGTATTCATGTTGGACAGCTGATGGAGGGGATTGATTCTGCTATTCCACAGCTACCACTAATGCAATGGCAGCAGCCTACTCTGACCAGCTGTCCCATCTCTTTCTGATTGACTGGTTGGCTGGATTGCCCCAGGCCAGTATTGCTCAGGTCTAGGCATGCTGCCAAGGAGGTGGTTAGAAACACCAAGTTTCACTGCAGGCAGATCCTTGCCCAGGTAACAATGCTGTGCTTCAGCCAGCAAGCAGGTGGGCGGGCGGGAACGTGTGAACTCCATGCTCCCTCTGGTTACCTTCTTGGTGCACTGTCTAACGGTATTGATTAACTCCGAAATGACCATGTCCACGCATTTCAGGCAAGGCTCTTTAATCTTCTTCACCTGCTTTTTCACAATGGTCTCAAAGGCCATGTCAGGTGTGAAGAGACCGGTTCTAAACACCCAGGGTGGGGGACAAGACAAGGCAAGAGGGGGGAAGAAGGGGCAAGGAGAATGTCACAGCTTTACATACAAATTTCAGAGCAGGCACCTGTATCACTGAAACCCAGCACACTGGGCTGGAAGAAATAAAAAAATCCCAGGAATGAGACCTTGGCAGAATCAGTTTAAAGAAGGATACTCAGACATCTCACAAAAAGGGTCCTTAGGGTGAAGCTGATCCCAGCCAGGGGCTCACTCTAGACCCTCACAGGAGAAGCAGGCAGGAGTTAAACAGTGCATGGGCTTAGACCTGCCCCTCTGCAGAGGAGGGAATTTCATCCTTAAGAGTCAGTGATGATGATAAAAGAGTGATAAGGTAATAGCTCTCATGAACTCAGTCAGCTCAGTACAAATGAGCTGAAGGAGGGAAAAAGATACCCACATCTGTACCTGAACATCAGCTTGCATTCTGGTGAGTTCAGGAGGATTTGGCATGGGAGAGGGTGCTGGGCTCCCGACACCACAAGGGGGTCCCAGGAGCTCAACATCTCTAGGGGTCAGGCTGTCCGATGGGCACAGCAAGCTGCATAGCATTAGTCTTCTCTGACACAAATGCAAGCTTCTGAACTTACCACGGACCAGGGGCCTGGTCTGGCCTGGAAAGGTGACAGCACTGGGGCAGGGAGGGAAGCATGATCAGCACCAGCTTGCAGCTTTATGCTGTCATTGGCAGGGGAAAGTAAATTAAAACAATATAAAAACCTGGTGGGTCTTATGTCACTTTCTCTTACTAAAGGGCAGCATCACTTCTTCCTCCTCACATCAGTCCAGGAGGTGGGGAGAAAAAGGCTGGTCACCAAGGCAGTTTTACCTTTCAGGCTCCTGCTGCTCTCATAGGGAAACAGTAAGAAAACTGATTTGGATGACCACCAGGACAAGGCTGTTCAGACACCAGAAGCCCAAAGAGGTGTTCTCCGCTCTCTGCTGACCTACCGTACCTCTGAAGTCTTCTCATCTTGGTTTGGAAGGTCTAGAGATATTTACAAGGCTATGCAGTCACTGGCCTGCCTAGCATATGATACGTGCCTGATACCATGAATGTTCTTGATAGCATAGCTGATCTCCCTTCGCAGCTCCTTCTCATCAAACTCCATCTGCACCAAAGGAAAAAGTTTGTCAGGAGAGGCCCGAGATCCCACACTGTACACACCAGCATAGAGAACATCACACAGATCCAGAGAAAAGCATCCCTGTCAGGCCATGGATTGGATGCCCAGATAGGATGCAGAAAGATGGAGCTGGCATGAAAGGATGGGGAGGCCTGCTGGTTGGAGCACAGAATGGGGAATCAGGTAGTCTGGCTTCTATTGAGAGCATTGACAGCTGCATAAATTTGAGCAACTCACGTTGGGACTGGACCCCCAAGGGTGCCAAGCACTTGGAGCTCCTGTGGATGGTGCAGACATCCTTAGAAACAAAGAACAAAGGGAACAAGATACAAAGTCAGAGCCATCCCTAGGGATGTGCAGGGCCTAGGGAGATCATCCTGTGCAGAGCCTGGGGGAGGGGAAGAGGTGGGGGGTGACTAGCAGCTGGAGCTGGCAGCAGTGGCGGGCCTTGTATGGCACTGTCCGCAGGGCCCCACAAAGCACAGGGCCTGGGGCAGTTGCTCCCCCACAGGGACGGCCTTGACAAGTCAATGTGTATCCTACAAGAATTTTGTGAATTTGACATAAGGTCCCACCTACTGTTTTCCTAATACAGATGTATAAAACTGTGATGCATGTCTCCTGTACAAAAAACCAACATCATCAGGTACAATACAGGCTCTTGCCCTTCGCTGAGAACATCTTGGCATCTCATTCCAAGGGGAAAGTGTCATGAATTAAATAATCATGAGCAAAGGAGAGCTAAACAGGGGAATGCATTAGCTCCCGTTTCTGTTCTGAAAACCACCAAGAAAACATCATTTTATCACTTTTTCCCTAGAGGTTTTACCCATTCTAAACCACCTTCCCTTATGCAGCGCAGCCCCTCTGTGCCCCTAGTGAGTGCAGTGTAGCCCCAGCACTAGCTAC